CGACACACTGAGGACGACACTTGCGGCTCTTGGGTTCGCTCCCTCTACTGCTGACCCGTCGCTGTTTCTACGCACCGACACCTCGCTGCCGCCGTTCTACATCCTCGTGTACGTCGACGACTTGGTCTTTGCCACTGCTGACACCGCGGCACTCGCTCACGTGAAGTCGGAGCTGCAGAGGAGACACACGTGCACAGACCTGGGTGAGCTGACGAGCTATCTTGGCTTGCGGATCACCCGGGACAGAGCACGGCGCACCATCACCCTGACTCAGTCACACATGGTGCAGCAGGTTCTCCAGCGCTTCCGCTTCACGTACTCCTCGCCTCAGTCCACTCCTCTGCCTACCGGTCACTCGCTCTCAGCTCTGCCTTCGGATGAGTCCGTAGAGCCGAGTGGCCCGTATCCAGAGCTTGTGGGCTGCCTCATGTACCTGATGACCTGCACTCGACCTGACCTTGCATACCCTCTTAGCATCCTAGCACGCTATGTCGCTCCTGGCCGTCACCGGAAGGAGCACATGGATGCTGCTAAGAGGGTGTTGCGCTACTTGTGCAGTACGTCGGGCATGGGGCTTGTGCTTGGAGGGCGAGACCGGGTTGTTCTCACAGGGCACTCAGACGCTTCTTGGGCAGACGACCAGGCTACTCAGCGGTCGTCCCAGGGTTACACCTTCAGCCTTGGCTCTGGCTCAGTTTCTTGGCGTTCTACTCGCTCTTCTTCTGTTCTCAGCTCCAGTTGTGAGGCTGAGATCTACGCCACAGCCATGGCTGCTCAGGAGCTACGCTGGCTGACCTACCTGCTGACCGACCTCGGAGAGCGGCCTCGTTCTCCTCCAGTGCTGTACGTCGACAACAAGGCTGCCATTGCCTTGTGTGAGGAGCACAGACTGGAGCACAGAACGAAGCACATCGCTCTGCGGTACTTCCTTGCTCGAGAGCTGCAGCAGCGTGGTCAGCTTTGTCTGCGTTACGTGGCCACGGAGGCCAACACTGCTGATGTGTTCACCAAGGCGCTTCAGCCTTGTGACCATCAGCGCTTTTGCACTCTGCTAGGCCTTGTACCCACTGGGCCTCACTTGCTTACCTCTTGACCTTGCTTGTACTGTGATCACTATATATATGCCTACTTGTTTACTTTTGCTAGGTTGTGATCACTGTATCTCTTGCTTTGTTATAAACCTGCATGTGAACTGGTCTTGTGACCGCTTGCTTGTGCTCGGAATTTGTGTGGAATCCTTGAGATCCACCCTGAGCTTGCTTTGCTTTACTTTGACTGGTCTTGTGACCCTGTGGTTGTCTCCCACTGCGCCTATGGGGGTGTGTCAAACATTGCATGTTTATATTATGTAGGCTGTAGTGGGTTACACCTTAGGGGGTACTCAAAGTTAGGGTTTCCTACTTGTACCAAACTCTGTGCTAGTTCATTCCATTCCTGCTCAGTTATTTCTGACATGAGGTACATGTGTTTTTTGTATCAAATTTTCAACGTCAATTCTTACCCCTCTTGTGCGCAGGTCTTGAAGTGAAGTTAAGTGTATATTAACTCTTGGCTTGTTAATATTGTAAGATTTCTACTTCCGTACCCCTTATCATGTTCCTTCTTGTTGTGTCATCGTCTCTTCCTTTTGTTCCCTTCCTTCTGTACGCCCTTATTCGTTCTTCCTAGTTTCTCTTCCGTTCCTTCTTTTTGCTTGCTATTTGATACAGCAGCAAAAATTGCACTAGTTTGTCTTTCAGGTTACACTTATGTACTCTCAGATATCATGTGTAGTCCTGAACCTCATTCCAGCATTAACATTCTTTTGTAGGGCTTATCCCTTTCGTATTTTTGATAATTGGTTCCGTTTGCATTAAGATCCATTTCTCTCCCCCTTTCCCCCTTCTTTTTTAATTTGTTCTGTATTATCAGAGGACTTGTTGTACCCTTCAGAGAATCAAGTTCATCTTGATGGATTTGGGTGGTCACTTGTAGGATGTCAAGAATAGTAGCCTTAGGGTTTGGGGTAGCGTGAGCGAGAGAAACAGGAAGGTGAGGTTCACTACAGCAAGGTTACAAGATATAGCAAAGAAAGGTGAGCACATTGGTGCACCACCACTGTAGCTACACTAGAACACACAGCAAGCAGGGTATATAACAAAACTTAACACACCCCCTTAACCTGCTTGCCGTGATAACTAGTACAGGTACACGTGGCGCAGCGGAAGAGGGTAGAGAGGTTAGGAAGGAGGAGGAGGTGAGAGGAGAGGAGAGGAGAGGAGAGGGGAGGAGGTGGGGGGCCAGGACCGGCGGACCCGCTTACGAACCTCCTTTTACAAAGGGGAGGTGAGAGAGGGAAGGGAGAGGAGGTGGGCTAGGCGGGCTTGAGCGCGAAAGCTCATAGCGATCCCCCCCCGTTAAGAACCCCCAAGTCCCGATGAGGAGAGGAGGTGGGCTAGGCGGGCATGAGCGCGCACGCTCAATGCGATCCCCCCCCGTTAAGAACCCCCATAGTCCTCACCCCCCTCGTCACTCAACCCCCCTCACCCTTCTGCACTTCTCTCCCCCCCCCCCCCCCTACAGCAACAGTTGCTGCAGGGAGAGAGGAAGAGGGAAGGGAGGGAGGAGTGGCAGGCTCCTCACACCCGCCGCACCTGTCTTCTCCCGCCACCCCCTCACCCTTCTGCACTTCTCTCCCCCCCCCCCCTACAGCAACAGTTGCTGCAGGGAGAGAGGAAGAGGGAAGGGAGGGAGGAGTGGCAGGCTCCTCACACCCGCCCCCCCCCCCCCCCCACAACCCCTTCCCCCTCCCTCCCCCCTCCCCACGACGGAAGCCGCGGAAGGGAGGGCGGGGGGGGGGGGGGGCGGCGGTAGCTGCTGCTGGCGCTGGCGGCTGGCCGCGGCGCTGGCCTCCGCGCTGGCGGATTGCGGGGTGACGGGGGCGACGAAACGGGGGCCGCGTGGCGACGAAATGGGGTTCGCGGACGACGGGAAGGGGTGCGCCCCGACGACGGAACGCAGGGCGCCGCGGCGACGGAACACGGGGCGCCGCGGCGACGGGAACCGGGCGCCGCGGCGACGGAAAGCGGGCGCCGCGGCTACGGGAACGCGGGGCGCCGCGGCGACGGGAATCAGGCGCCACGGCGAACGGGCAGGGCAGAACGCGAGCGTGCGAACGGGGAGAAAAAAATAGCGCATTTCGCGCTGTAGTACGGGCGGGCCCATGATTCTTAAAAAAAAGAGAAGGTTCCGGGAAAGAACCAGCTCTGTACCATGTCAAGATAGTAGCCTTAGGGTTTGGGGTAGCGTGAGCGAGAGAAACAGGAAGGTGAGGTTCACTACAGCAAGGTTACAAGATATAGCAAAGAAAGGTGAGCACATTGGTGCACCACCACTGTAGCTACACTAGAACACACAGCAAGCAGGGTATATAACAAAACTTAACATAGGATTTATTGTTTTAGGTAGCCTCATTATTTAGACTGCATCTATTTTCTTTATATGTGGGTTTGTTTTCTTGTGCTTATGCATGTATGTATGTGTAAATGGGTGTGTAGATGTATGCATTTTTTATTATCCATTCCATCATTGCATCAATAATGCATGTCTATGAGTTTTAAAAAAAGGATTCAGCTATCATTTCCGAGAAGGCTCTTTGTCCACTCAGTGAGTTTGACACTTGAGCTGGATTTGATAGTGTCGACCCTTTTTTTAGAGTTCATAGATTGTGTTATTCCATGTGTTAGCTGATTATTCAAATACTAAGCTGCTGACCTTCCCCCCCATGCTAGGCAGGGGATGCGCGGTAGCTTAGTTTTTGGGTTTTCCGCTTTCACGCATTTCCATCATTTATTATCATTTATAAATATTATCGTATGCATTAATTTTTTCCATCATTATTTGCATTCCCTGCACATAGATAGCCTCGTACATGCTCATTATTCATCTCACCATACTACTACATGCATACTACCTACATTCATCATAGCATGCGAACTTCAGACTGACAGTAAATATTTCAATACAAGTAGCGACCACAATGAAACACCCACAGTACGGTATGTGAAATAATGTAGGATATTCACGAATGGTGTTGGTTACAATACTAGTACGTAGTTTCTTGGTTTTTTTCTTCATATTTATATAAAATATGAAAAAAAATTGTACATAACGATTGTAATAGGTTGCTTCGCAACCCAAAAAAAAACAACATGATGAACAGCAATAGCAACCTACTTGGTGAGTCCAATTTTTTTCATGAGTGCGGAATCCCTGAAGCTGTAAGGCAGCCATGTCATGACACGAAATGACCCCACCAAGTGCCCAAACGCCCACTCTATTGGCACTTTCTTGGCCAAGGCTTTCTGAAGGAGGGGCGAAGGGAGGGGAAAGGGGGAAAGAGGGAGGAAGGGGAAGGAGAGGACAGATGCATATATAAGATGCAGGTGGAAGCTGCAAGTTAGCCATGTCATGACACGAAATGACCCCACCAGGTGCCCAAACGCCCACTCTATCGGCACTTTCTTGGCCAAGGCTTTCTGAAGGAGGGACGAAGGGATGGAAGGCGGGAATGAGGATGGAAAGGGGTGTCTGTGAAAGCTGTAAGGCAGCCGTTTCTTGCCCAGCCAGTTTTTGAGAATTCTCAAAAACCAGCTCGTGTCTGTGGAAGCTGTAAGGCAGCCGGGTCTTGCCCAGCCTCACCACCAACCTCCACTAGAGCCTTTGTTTTGAGGAGCCCCAAAACTAGGCGCCTCAAAACTAGTTGTAAGGCGGCCATGTCTTGCCCACCCTCACCTTCCACTAGGGCCCTCGCAAACCCGTCTCCTGGTATGGACTCAGGCATTTGAGAGGCCCCCGCCCTAGCCTCTATGTGTTGGTGAAAATGCAGGCACACAAATCTGCACGCAGCACATGCACCACTTCACACCACCTCACACCACCTTACACCACCCTCACCTTCCACTAGAGCCCTCGCAAACCCGTCTCCTGGTATGGACTGGGGCGTTTGTGAGGCCCCCGCCTTAGCCTCTATCTGTTGCTGAAAATGCAGGCACACAAATCTGCACGCAGCACATGCACCACTTCACACCACCTCACACCACCTGACACCACCTCACACCACCTCACACCACCCTCACCTCTACTAGAGCCCTCGCGAACACGTCTCCCGGCGTGGACTGGGGCGTTTGGGAGGCCCCTGCCCGCGCCTCTATCTGCTTCTGAAAGCGTGAGAATATCTTGAGACGTAGGTGGGAGACAGAGGAGGAGGAGTTGCCACCAAAGTTGGACCTGGGATAGGCATGTGGAAGGGGGAAGGGAACGGGTAGGGTGAAAAGCAGGGCACATAATCGGGCTTCTACCTGCTCCTGAAAGCGTGAGAAGATCTTGAGACGCAGGTGGGAGACAGAGGAGGAGGAGTTGCCACCAAAGTTGGACCTGGGATGGGCATGTGGAAGGGGGAAGGGAACGGGTAGGGTGAAAAGCAGGGCACATAATCGGGCTTCTACCTGCTCCTGAAAGCGTGAGAAGATCTTGAGACGCAGGTGAGAGACAGAGGAGGTGGAGTTGCCACCAAAGTTGGACCTGGGATGGTGGAGTGGGTGGGAAAGATGGGCATATGGAAGGAAGATGGAAGCGTGAGAATATCTTGAGACGCAGGTGAGAGACAGAGGAGGTGGAGTTGCCACCAAAGTTGGACCTGGGATGGTGGTGTGAAGGAGAGGATGGTATGGCATACACGGGAAGGGGTAGGAGAGGACGGGACAGCTTTTGAGTCGACTCAAAAGCACATTCATTACCACGTGGAACTGAGATGGTGGTGTGAAGGAGAGGATGGTATGGCATACACGGGAAGGGGTAGGAGAGGACGGGACAGCTTTTGAGTCGACTCAAAAGCACATTCATTACACGTGGAACTGAGATGGTGGTGTGAAGGAGAGGATGGTATGGCATACACGGGAGGGGGTAGGACAGGACGGGACAGGAGAACACATAATGTTGACCTTTGCTTGAGTCGATTCAAAAATCGCCTCAGGAGAGGAAAGGACAGGAGACCAAGAACGGGGAAGGAGAGATGCACATGTTGGGCATATGCTCATGCAGATGTATAGACCGAATGTGCACAGCTGCCTTGGCTACACAGTGGGTGCCCACAATTACAAGGCATCCAGCTAGCCATTCAGCCAGTGAATGCACGCCGCCTTCCTTGCCTGCCTGATGGCGCCTTCCAGCAACGAACATGACTTGGATGTCGAATGGCTTCAACTCCATTCTAAGCGCGTGTGTGATGCTGTGCATTGCTGCCTTGGCCGCAGCACGTGCCCCATACAAGCCAGAAAGAACAGACAACCCTTGTCTATTTGATGGCGCCCGGAGCAACGCCACTGCAAGCATCCAGCTAGCCATTCAGCGGCCAGCCAGTGAATGCATGCCTCCTTCCTTGCCTACCTGATGGCGCCCGGAGCAACGCCACTGCAAGCATCCAGCTAGCCATTCAGCGGCCAGCCAGTGAATGCATGCCTCCTTCCTTGCCTGCCTGATGGCGCCCGGAGCAACGCCACTGCAAGCATCCAGCTAGCCATTCAGCGGCCGGCCAGTGAATGCATGCCTCCTTCCTTGCCTGCCTGATGGCGCCCGGAGCAACGAGCATGTCTTGGATGCCGAATGGCTTCAACTCCATTCTAAGCGCGTGTGTGATGCTGTGCATTGCTGCCTTGGCCGCAGCACGTGCCCCATACAAGCCAGAAAGAACAGACAACCCTTGCCTACCTGATGGCGCCCGGAGCAACGCCACTGCAAGCATCCAGCTAGCCATTCAGCGGCCAGCCAGTGAATGCATGCCTCCTTCCTTGCCTGCCTGATGGCGCCCGGGGCAACGAGCATGACTTGGATGCCGAATGGCTTCAACTCCATTCTAAGCGCGTGTGTGATGCTGTGCATTGCTGCCTTGGCCGCAGCACGTGCCCCATACAAGCCAGAAAGAACAGACAACCCTTGCCTACCTGATGGCGCCCGGAGCAACGCCACTGCAAGCATCCAGCTAGCCATTCAGCGGCCAGCCAGTGAATGCATGCCTCCTTCCTTGCCTGCCTGATGGCGCCCGGAGCAACGCCACTGCAAGCATCCAGCTAGCCATTCAGCGGCCAGCCGGTGAATGCATGCCTCCTTCCTTGCCTACCTGATGGCGCCCGGAGCAACGCCACTGCAAGCATCCAGCTAGCCATTCAGCGGCCAGCCAGTGAATGCATGCCTCCTTCCTTGCCTGCCTGATGGCGCCCGGAGCAACGCCACTGCAAGCATCCAGCTAGCCATTCAGCGGCCAGCCAGTGAATGCATGCCTCCTTCCTTGCCTACCTGATGGCGCCCGGAGCAACGCCACTGCAAGCATCCAGCTAGCCATTCAGCGGCCAGCCAGTGAATGCATGCCTCCTTCCTTGCCTCCCTGATGGCGCCCGGAGCAACGCCACTGCAAGCATCCAGCTAGCCATTCAGCGGCCAGCCAGTGAATGCATGCCTCCTTCCTTGCCTACCTGATGGCGCCCGGAGCAACGCCACTGCAAGCATCCAGCTAGCCATTCAGCGGCCAGCCAGTGAATGCATGCCTCCTTCCTTGCCTACCTGATGGCGCCCGGAGCAACGCCACTGCAAGCATCCAGCTAGCCATTCAGCGGCCAGCCACTGAATGCATGCCTCCTTCCTTGCCTGCCTGATGGCGCCCGGGGCAACGAGCATGACTTGGATGCCGAATGGCTTCAACTCCATTCTAAGCGCATGTGTGATGCTGTGCATTGCTGCCTTGGCCGCAGCACGTGCCCCATACAAGCCAGAAAGAACAGACAACCCTTGCCTACCTGATGGCGCCCGGAGCAACGCCACTGCAAGCATCCAGCTAGCCATTCAGCGGCCAGCCAGTGAATGCATGCCTCCTTCCTTGCCTGCCTGATGGCGCCCGGGGCAACGAGCATGACTTGGATGCCGAATGGCTTCAACTCCATTCTAAGCGCGTGTGTGATGCTGTGCATTGCTGCCTTGGCGGCACAGAACGTGCCACTCACAACCATAGGCATCGCCAGTCACCCTCTCCTTTTTGGAGTGTCGCAACAACAGCCCTCTCCTCACCTGATTGCGCCCGGAGCAACGAGCATCACTTGAATGCCAAACGGTTTCAGCTCCATTCTGAGCGCGTGTGTGATGCTGTGCACTGCTGCCTTGGCCGCACAGTATGTGCCGGCGAATGGCGTTGTGATCCATGCCGACACCGACCCTATGTTGATGACCTTGCCACTGCCCTGCAAAGGGAGAGGAGAGGAGAGACGAGGGTGAAGTGGACGGTCAATAGGTGCAGGGTGAGGCTGTGCACAGCAGCCTTGGCGGCACAGCATGTGCCGGCGAATGGCGTTGTGATCCATGCTGACACCGACCCTATGTTGATGACCTTGCCACTGGCCTGGGGATTGGAATGGGTGTAGCGGATGGGGAAGCAGAGAGAGAATGGAGGGAGGCAAGGGAGGCAAGGGAGTGATGCTATGTGCTGCTGGATGCCTGCCTGCCTGCCTTGCCGTCGCCGCACAGCATGTGTTGGCGAATGGCGTGGTGATCCATGCTGACACCGACCCTATGTTGATGACCTTGCCACTGCCCTGGGGATTGGAATGGGAAAAAAAGATGAAAGGGAGGAGGAAAGGGAGGCAGGAAAACGAAGGGCGGGAGGCATGGGAGCGATGCTGTGTGCTGCCTGCCAGCCTGCCTGCCTGCCTGCCTGCCACTCTGCTGCCTTGGCAAAGGGCGTGGTGATCTTTGCCAAGGGTCCATGCCGACACCGACACTATGTTGCCGACGCCCTACCAAAGATCACCACGCCCTATGTGCGGATCAACCACTTGAGTGACGGCTAGCAGGCCAATCACAAGCACAAGCACCTGGCCCCACCATAGCCACATTCACCCCATAGTCACTTAACCCTACCTGCTCCACCATGTGAGGAACACGAGCTTGGGTGACGGCCAGCAGGTCAACCACGTTGGTCTCCATGTTGCTGCGAAAGGCATCCAGAGGCACCTCCGCCATGGGGGCAATACAGCCTGCACCACCAGCCTGCTCCCCTACCCACCTGCTACCATCCCACACACCTGCTCCACCATGTGAGGCACCACCGCTTGAGTGACAGCGAGCAGGCCAACCACGTTGGTTTCCATGTTGCCGCGGAAGGCGTCAAGAGGCATCTCCGCCATGGGGCCAAAGCATACCTGCTCCACCATGGGGCCAAAGCATACCTGCTCCACCATGTGCGGAACGACAGCCTGCGTGACAGCGAGCAGGCCAACCACGTTGGTTTCCATGTTGCTGCGGAAGGCGTCCAAAGGCATCTCCGCCATGGGCCCAAAACAGCCTGCTCCCGCGTTGTTGACCAGAATGTCTATTCTGCCTGCCTGCACAGGTGCAACAGCAAAAAACAGCGTGGAAAAACGGTGTGTTGGGGTATCAAAAGGCTTCTCCGCTATCAGAAAAAGCTCCCTGCTCCCGCGTTGCTGACCAGAATGTCTATTCTGCCTGCCTGCACAGGTGCGCACGGGAGGAAGAAGGAGAGGTAATGACAAGAAGGCAGAGCAAGCTACGCACACCCAAAGGCATCTCCGCCATGGGGCCAAAGCACCCTGCGCCCGCAGGGTCTTAGATGAAAGACAAGTGGAAGGAAAACGTATGCATAGAATCGTGAAACAGCGTCTTGTGTTAGGAAGAAGATGTATAGTTGAGAGAGGAAGACACAGATCAACGGTTACCTTGTTGACTTTTGAGTCGACTCAAAAGTCAACATAGAATCGTGAAACAGCGTCTTGTGTTAGGAAGACGTATGCCTTTTTGAGGCGCCTCAAAAACGACCTCTTGTGTTAGGAAGATGTATAGTTGAGAAAGGAAGACGCACATCAACGGTTACCTTGGAAATGACTGTGCTGACGGCTTCCTGAATGGAGGCAGGGGACGTGACATCTAGCTGTACCGTCTCTATCCCCAACCCTGTAAAGAGAGAAATTAAGGGAGAATCAAGATACAAACGGACGAAAGGAAGAAACAAGGGGAAAATTCCTGAATAGAGACCGTGGACGTGACATTTAACTGAACTGTCCAACCCTGAGAAGAAGGAGAAGAGGGAAGAGCAAAGAAGAAGAGAGAAGATGAAGAGCAGAGGAGGGGGAGGAAGGCGGGGAGGAGTGACCATCACGATTACTTGTGAGAAGAGTCTAACAGCCCTGAATGTGGTGAGTGAGTTTCACATCGGGGATTGTCTCATGGTTTTTGAGACGTCTCAAAAATTCACTTTATACACGTCACATCAGGGATTGTGTCACTGTTTGCAGGCCTGCATTGTCTCATTTTCTAACCCTGCAAACATTTGAGACAAATTCTGAGGCGCCTAAACGAAAAGAACACGAAGGTGGACAATCAGAGAGGGTGTAATCATATTTGACCCTGCAGCATCCGAGTGAAGAGGAAACGGCCAGTTGGCTCTTGAATATCAGCATGCGAAATTCAGGCATACAGTGCGAATTACCACCGAATTACCATGGTAACCATGAAGTCCGAGGGATCTCCTTGCATGGATAACCGTGGATTTCTTTTGATCCGACGTCTCAAAACGCAACCCCGTGACAGAGTTCTGAGACGTCTCAAGGAAACACGGCACCCATCATAATCAGCGGATGCTGCTGCGACATTCTTTTTTTCGCCAACGTCGAAACTTGCCTACCTGCCAGGTCTTGCATGGAGTCGGGTCGTCGTGCAGTAGCGAACACGCGGCAACCTCGAGCGGCGAAGGCCTTGCAGAGTTCCGATCTGATACCGCCAGAGGAAACTGATGCTGTAAAAGGGGGGGAGGGCCTCACACTCCATTCCTACCTGCCAGGTCTTGCATGGAGTCTGGTCGCCTTGCCGAGGCGAACACGCGGCAGCCTTTAGCGGCGAAGGCCTTGCAGAGTTCCGATCCGATGCCGCCGGAGGAGCATCCCGTGACGAGCACCACAGGCCCCGCCATTAGTGGTTGATGCTGCTCCGACATGAATGAATGAGTCGACCGTCGCTTTTCTGATATCGTGACGCGAGGAGGCTGTCTCTGACTGGTTGCTTGCTGGTCTCCGTGGCCCGTTTTCGTGCCCTTACTTCGTGGCAGGTAAGCTACTAGTGGCGAATTTGTTATGTCGAGGCCTTCAAATCTGGTTAGGAAAAAGAGCAGAAACTTCTAGGGATATGTACGCACGGATGAAACAACGAAGAGCGAATAGAACGCGCCGCGGAGTGGTGGGAAGTAACACTAACAACAGTGCGACGAGACAAGCTCTCTATCTGTCCACAGGAAGGATTTTCTTTATCTCGACGAAGGATTTTCTCTTACACGCGGAACACAACTCCATTCTGTCAATCCCGAGCCGGTGGTGAATCTCGAGGCAAGAATCACGACCATCTTTCCCTCGCATACGAAGTTCTACACGGTTTCAAAGAATCCGAAACGGTTGAGGCCGTTTGTGTACGTTTCCAAGAGTTGAAGACTGGTTCCTGCAAAAAACCTCTCGAATCCAGCGCTTGTTGGTTTGGAGCCTGCCAAACGAACGTGAATGTGTCAGAGACTTGCAGGACGCGCTCCCTCGCATTCGTTATAAGTTCAAACAAGAATTTTTGCCGAGTCCATACCGTGCGGCCTTCGATAATTTTTACACAGAACTTGCACATTGCGTTACATGCTCTGCTTTTCTAACATGTTTTGAGCCTCACAGTATGCAGCATAAGTTCTAAGCAAGCCTTTTAGCCGTTGCAGCTGCTGCAGACCCACCTTCCCTGTAGCTCGAGCTTTAACCATCACCTCTTCAATATCTTGCTTGCGCCCCAAGAAATCATTCAGGAATAGATGTGCCTGAGACTGCATCTCTGTCATTTCCCAAGACTCGAGCTTCTTCCTTTCCTGGGACCCCATTTCCTCCGTTTCGCACCCAGAAGAGCCCATGGCTCCATCCCTCTCTACTATGCTCCTACATCTCTCTCCCCTCTGTTTTAAACATCCATTAGCATCCTCTTCGTCTTCATCCCCTGATTCCACCTCCGCTCCCCCATCTCTCATCACTGCTTCCGCACGTTTCGATCCCTTCTCCACCTCACCTCCATCCTTGTGCAATGCATCGCTATTCACAGCTTCCTGTCGCCTCCACCCCTCCCCCCACTTCTGCTGCTGTTCCATGTAATTGTGCCCCTGTTTCTCCTGCTCCTGCGCCTGTTGCCGGTGCTGCTGCCGATGCAACTGTTGCTGCTGTTGATACTTCTCCTGCTGCTGCCGTTCCTGCCTTCCTCCCAGCCCCACCACCCCTGCATCTCCTTTCTCCCCCGCTCCTTTCACTCTCTCTCTACGTCTGTGCGCCTGCCACAGCGGAGAGGCACTGATGGCTTTTACCAGCTGGAGCTTCTTGGCTTGAGCCGGCACAGAGCACCCCAGCAGCAGCGCCACCACCCTCACCACGTCCCGCTTCTCCTGCTGCACGTCCTCCTCTGCGCCTGCACACCTCGCAAAGAACAGCTCCTGATAGCCCTGCTTATAACGAGATAGAGTGAGAAAAGATGGGAAGGAATATGATGAGTGAAACTGCACGTCCTCCTCTGCCCCCGCGCACCTCGCAAAGAACAGCTCCTAGTAGCCCTGCTAATAACGGGGATAGAATGAGATAGAACACGGAAAAAAAAAATTAAGTGAGAACCGCACATGCTCCTCTGCGCCTGCGCACTGCGCAAAGAACAGCTCCTGATAGCCCTGCTCATAGCGGGGACAAAATACATAACATGGGAAGCGCAACAACGGGTGAAAACTGCACATCCTCCTCCAAAGCTGTGCATTCCAGCTTCTCTGCCAGCAACCCACTTTCCTCCGTATACCCCCACTCACTGCAACTCTACTTGATCAAGTCCTTGCTATTTTTGAGACGTCTCAAAAATACCCTCTCGACACGTGGCAATCCGCTTTCCTCCGTATACCCCCACTCACTGCAACTCTACTTGATCAAGTCCTTGCTATTTTTGAGACGTCTCAAAAATACCCTCTCGACACGTGGCAATCCGCTTTCCTCCGTATACCCCCACTCACTGCAACTCTACTTGATCAAGTCCTTGCTATTTTTGAGACGTCTCAAAAATACCCTCTCGACACGTGGCAATCCGCTTTCCTCCGTATACCCCCACTCACCGCAACTCTACTTGATCAAGTCCTTGCTCAATTTTGAGTCGACTCAAAACTGCAACCCTACTTGATGAAGTCCTTGCTCAATCCACCCACCCATCCCTCACCTTGAGTGCATCAGCGTCAGCACGGACGAGAGACCGAATATACGCTTCCAGCTTCGCTGCCAGCAGCTCCCCCCTTCCCTCTCCTCCCTGTCCTGTTTTCCAGTCTACTGAAAGAAATAGCTCTCGCCCTCCCTCTCCTCCCTCATACATTACCTTACCTCAGCTCCATCCATCCCTGTTGAAATTCGTTGGGTTCGAAACGCAGCAAGCCTTCTAAGAGTAACGATCTATAGCACTAGTCTACTAATCTGAAAGGCGAGGGAAGTTGTAAGAAAAAGCTCTCGCCCTCCCTCTCCTCCCTCATCCATTACCTTACCTCAGCTCCATCAAGCCCTCACCTTGAGAGCCCCAGGGTTGGTGCGGATAAGAGAGCGAATGTATGCCTCGAGCTTCGCTGCCAACAGCTCCCGCTCCCCCGTGTGCTCCCTATCATCGCACCGTACCTTATCTTACCGCCAGCAAACAATGTCTCACCTTGAGAGCCCCAGGGTTGGTGCGGATAAGAGAGCGAATGTATGCCTCGAGCTTCGCTGCCAACAGCTCCCGCTCCCCCGTGTGCTCCCTATCATCGCACCGTACCTTATCTTACCGCCAGCAAACAATGTCTCACCTTGAGAGCCCCAGGGTTGGTGCGGATAAGAGAGCGAATGTATGCCTCGAGCTTCGCTGCCAACAGCTCCCGCTCCCCCGTGTGCTCCCTATCATCGCACCGTACCTTATCTTACCGCCAGCAAACAATGTCTCACCTTGAGAGCCTCAGGGTTGGTGCGGATAAGAGAGCGAATGTATGCCTCGAGCTTCGCTGCCAGCAACTCCCTCTCCTCCATGTGCTCCTTATCACCCTACTGTACCGAACTGTACCTTACATCAACTCAGCAAGCCCTCACCTTGAGAGCCTCAGGGTTGGTGCGGATGAGAGAGCGAATGTACGCCTCCAGCTTCGCGGCCAGCAGCTCCCGCTCCTCCGTATGCTCCCACCGCAACCTCCTTTCAAGGAACTCCGTAAGAAGCACATCGGGTGGCCTGTTCAGCCTGGCAATGCGCTCATCGCCTATGTCTGATAATCCCACCTCCTGTGGTAGCAATACCCCTCCCAGCTGCCCTCCTTTCAAGGCGGGAGGGGAGGGAGTGGGAAGCTGAGGAGGAGGTCTGTTCAACTGTGCCAGCCGGTGCACCCTTGCAATGCGCTCATCGCCTAAATCTGATAACCCCACTTCCTGCGGCAGCAGCAGCCCTCCCAGCTGCCCTCCTTGCGAGGTCGAGGGGGGTGGGGAAGGAGTGGGTACCAACTTCAACTGCTCGCCCGAGGGGGGTGCAGAGGTAGCTGGTACTAGTGTCTCCAACTGCTCTCCTCCTAAGGGGTGTGGGGCGGGACTGGGCACCTGAGAGGACCCCTTCAACTGTGCGGTTGAGAGGGGCTCAGCGGGGTCTGAAGGTTTGGGTGATGAGGATGATGCTAGTGAAGGTTTCTTAGCAGCTGTTTCCACTGTAGCTGGCTGAAGAACCACTTGTACTGCTGCTGTCGCTGCCACAGGTGCTGCTATTGCCGCCGCCGGTGGTGGTGGTGTTGCTGCTGCTTTTGTCGCTGTTGCTGCTATTGCTGCTGCTGGTAGTGATGGCGGTGGTGGTGGTGCTGCTGCTTTACCAACTGACACTCCCTTCTCTGCTGCTCCGTTTCCCCTGGAAACCCCACCATCACCAGCCGCATTGACTGCCCTTCCCCTCCTTTCCCCCTTCCCCCCTCCTCTCACCCTCTCCCACGCGTCCGCCCTGACTATCACCTCTGCAAGCTCATCCTTCCTAAGAGACGTCACCTCGGGAGCGCCCAGCAGCAGGGCGAAGAGCTGCAGAGCCCCTTTCTTCTCCCCCTGCAGGTCCTCTAGCGTGGGCTCGTGCGCCAGCAGGGCGTCCTGAAACGGCTGGTGGATTGAGGAGTGGAGCGAGGGAAAAGGGAACGGGTGAAGTGTAAGGGAAAAGGAAAGGAGGGAGTTCCCAGCAGCAGTGCGAAGAGCTGCAGCGCGCCCTTCTTCCCCCCATGCAGGTCCTCTAGCGTGGGCTCATGCGCCAGCAGGGCGTCCTGAAACGGCTGGTGGATTTCAAGGGGGTGGACGAGGGGAAAGAGGGGATGGAGGGTAGGAGGCAGAGCAAAGAGCTGCAGCGCGCCATTCCTCTCCCCCTGCAGGTCCTCTAGCATGGGCTCATGCGTTAGCAGCATGTCCTGAAACGGCTGGTGGATTGAGAATGGGCAGGGAAACAGACGTGAAGAGGAGGGGGTTGATGTGTAAGAGGAGAGTGAGGGAGCTCCCAGCAGCAGCAGGGCGAAGAGAAGAGCTGCAGCGCTCCCTCCTTCTCCCCCTGCAGGTCCTCTAACGTGGGCTCATGCGTTAGCAGGGCATCCTGAAGGGGAGAGTTGTGGGGAGGGGGATGGGAGGGAGAGAAGCCACCTCAGGTGTGTCCAGCAGCAACGCAAAGAGCTGCAGCGCTCCCTCCTTCTCCCCCTGCAGGTCCTCTAACGTGGGCTCATGCGTTAGCAGCATGTCCTGAAATGGCTGGTGGGTTGAAGGGGGTGGAGGAGGGAAGGGCGAGCGAGTGGGGAAGGGAGGGAGGGAGGGAGAAAGCTCATCTTTCCGCAGGGAAGTCACCTCGGGTGCGCCCAGCAGCAGTGCAAAGAGCTTGAAACGGCTGGTGGATTGGGGTGTGTGTGGTGTGGGTGGTCGAATTCAAATCGCCCCCTATTGTGCCCTAGGGAGTACCTCTACTCCCTGCTGCCCCATTTTCCAGAGAAACTTCAACCTAAGGGAACCCCAACTACCCACAAGCATGTCACATCACACCTTCCCCTACCTACCTCTACTCCCTGCTGCCCCATTTTCCAGAGAAACTTCAACCTAAGGGAACCCCAACTACCCACAAGCATGTCACATCACACCTTCCCCTACCTACCTCTACTCCCTGCTGCCCCATTTTCCAGAGAAACTTCACGTGTGCTTGCAGCGATGCCAGCAGAGGGCTTCGGTCTTCCAGCAGATGCCACAGCCGCCTCTCCTTCAACCTAAGGGAACCCCAACTACCCACAAGCAAGTCACACCTTCCCCTTCTTACCTGCATCACTGCCTGCTGCCCCATCTTCCAGAGAGGCTTCACGTGTGCCTTGAGTGACGCCAGCAACGGGCTTCGGTCTTCCAGCAGATGCCACAGCCGCCTCTCCCTCAGGCACTCCCTCAACCTCCCCTCCACCTCCTCCCACACATGTTACACTCCCCCCTTCTCACCTGCACTGCCTCATGGCCCATCTTCCAAAGGGTCTTCACATGGGCTTTAAGGGACGCCAGCAACGGGCTTCGGTCTTCCAGCAGATGCCACAGCCGCCTCTCCTTCAAACACTCCCTCAACCTCCCCTCCACCTCCTCCCTGCTTACCCTGCTCTCCCCACACATGTCACACTCCCCCCTTCTCACCTGCACTGCCTGCTGCCCCATCTTCCAAAGAAGCTTCACATGGGCTTTAAGGGACGCCAGCAACGGGCTTCGGTCTTCCAGCAGATGCCACAGCCGCCTCTCCTTCAAACACTCCCTCAACCTCCCCTCCACCTCCTCCCTGCTCTCCACACACACGTCACAGTTCCCCCTTCCTTCTCACCTGCACCGCCTGCTGCCCCATCTTCCAAAGAAGCTTCACATGGGCTTTAAGGGACGCCAGCAACGGGCTTCGGTCTTCCAGCAGATGCCACAGCCGCCTCTCCTTCAAACACTCCCTCAACCTCCCCTCCACCTCCTCCCTGCTCTCCCCACCTCTCCTCCGCTTTGGATCCTGGTACCCATCCCTCTTCTCCTCGCCTTTTCCCATTTGTGGCGCCTTCTCCCTTCCCTGGGGTTGCAACATTTTCTGAGGCGCCTCAAACAAACTCTTTTCAGCTGACCGAAAAGATCCATCCTTCTTCTCCCTTCTCTGGCCCGCTCTGCCTTCTCCCGTCCGATTTGCCTCTGCATCTGCTTTGCTCCCCTCACTCCTTCCTCGCTTCAGTCCTCTCGCTCTCGCTTCTTGCACGGCATGAGATCCTTCCAATGGTGCAGCTTGCGGTGATGGTGCTGCTGCTGCTGCTGCTGCTGCTGCTGCTGCTGCTGGTAATGCTTCTGTCGCCACTGGTGTAGCTTGTACTGCTTCTAATGGCATGGATTGCGGCGATGCTGCTGTTGCTGCTGGTAATGCCACTGTCGCTAGTGGTGCTCGTACCATTGCTAATGCAGGTGCTGTTGGTAGCGCTGGGGTTAGTGGTGGTGCTGTTGCTGCTGATGCTAATGCTGGTGTTGTTGCTGTTGCTGTTGCTGCTGCTGCTGCTGTTGCTGCTGATGCTGCTGCTGCTGCTGTTGCTGCTGTTGCTGCTGCTGCTAGTGTTGGTGGTGTTCTAACGTGGGCTCATGCGTTAGCAGCATGTCCTGAAATGGCTGGTGGGTTGAAGGGGGTGGAGGAGGGAAGGGCGAGCGAGTGGGGAAGGGAGGGAGGGAGGGAGAAAGCTCATCTTTCCGCAGGGAAGTCACCTCGGGTGCGCCCAGCAGCAGTGCAAAGAGCTTGAAACGGCTGGTGGATTGGGGTGTGTGTGGTGTGGGTGGTCGAATTCAAATCGCCCCCTATTGTGCCCTAGGGAGTACCTCTACTCCCTGCTGCCCCATTTTCCAGAGAAACTTCAACCTAAGGGAACCCCAACTACCCACAAGCATGTCACATCACACCTTCCCCTACCTACCTCTACTCCCTGCTGCCCCATTTTCCAGAGAAACTTCAACCTAAGGGAACCCCAACTACCCACAAGCATGTCACATCACACCTTCCCCTACCTACCTCTACTCCCTGCTGCCCCATTTTCCAGAGAAACTTCACGTGTGCTTGCAGCGATGCCAGCAGAGGGCTTCGGTCTTCCAGCAGATGCCACAGCCGCCTCTCCTTCAACCTAAGGGAACCCCAACTACCCACAAGCAAGTCACACCTTCCCCTTCTTACCTGCATCACTGCCTGCTGCCCCATCTTCCAGAGAGGCTTCACGTGTGCCTTGAGTGACGCCAGCAACGGGCTTCGGTCTTCCAGCAGATGCCACAGCCGCCTCTCCCTCAGGCACTCCCTCAACCTCCCCTCCACCTCCTCCCACACATGTTACACTCCCCCCTTCTCACCTGCACTGCCTCATGGCCCATCTTCCAAAGGGTCTTCACATGGGCTTTAAGGGACGCCAGCAACGGGCTTCGGTCTTCCAGCAGATGCCACAGCCGCCTCTCCTTCAAACACTCCCTCAACCTCCCCTCCACCTCCTCCCTGCTTACCCTGCTCTCCCCACACATGTCACACTCCCCCCTTCTCACCTGCACTGCCTGCTGCCCCATCTTCCAAAGAAGCTTCACATGGGCTTTAAGGGACGCCAGCAACGGGCTTCGGTCTTCCAGCAGATGCCACAGCCGCCTCTCCTTCAAACACTCCCTCAACCTCCCCTCCACCTCCTCCCTGCTCTCCACACACACGTCACAGTTCCCCCTTCCTTCTCACCTGCACCGCCTGCTGCCCCATCTTCCAAAGAAGCTTCACATGGGCTTTAAGGGACGCCAGCAACGGGCTTCGGTCTTCCAGCAGATGCCACAGCCGCCTCTCCTTCAAACACTCCCTCAACCTCCCCTCCACCTCCTCCCTGCTCTCCCCACCTCTCCTCCGCTTTGGATCCTGGTACCCATCCCTCTTCTCCTCGCCTTTTCCCATTTGTGGCGCCTTCTCCCTTCCCTGGGGTTGCAACATTTTCTGAGGCGCCTCAAACAAACTCTTTTCAGCTGACCGAAAAGATCCATCCTTCTTCTCCCTTCTCTGGCCCGCTCTGCCTTCTCCCGTCCGATTTGCCTCTGCATCTGCTTTGCTCCCCTCACTCCTTCCTCGCTTCAGTCCTCTCGCTCTCGCTTCTTGCACGGCATGAGATCCTTCCAATGGTGCAGCTTGCGGTGATGGTGCTGCTGCTGCTGCTGCTGCTGCTGCTGCTGCTGCTGCTGCTGCTGCTGCTGCTGCTGCTGCTGGTGGTAATGCTTCTGTCGCCACTGGTGTAGCTTGTACTGCTTCTAATGGCATGGATTGCGGCGATGCTGCTGTTGCTGCTGGTAATGCCACTGTCGCTAGTGGTGCTCGTACCATTGCTAATGCAGGTGCTGTTGGTAGCGCTGGGGTTAGTGGTGGTGCTGTTGCTGCTGATGCTAATGCTGGTGTTGTTGCTGTTGCTGTTGCTGCTGCTGCTGCTGTTGCTGCTGATGCTGCTGCTGCTGCTGTTGCTGCTGTTGCTGCTGCTGCTAGTGTTGGTGGTGTTGCTGATACTACTAGTGGTGGTGCTATTGCTGCCGCAGATGCTAGAGCTGGTGCAGTTGCTGCTGTTGCAAGTGCTGGCGCTGTTGCTGTTGCAGCTCCTCCTGCTAGCGCTGGTCCCGGTATTGCTGCTTGTGAGAGTGGTGGTGATGGTACCGCAACAACTGGCATTGCCATTGGTCGTCGCGAGGCTTGCTTTTCAATTGCTCCAACGCCTGCTGCTGCTGGTACTGCAGTTGCCACTTCTGTTGCTGACGGATCTTGCACCAACGTAGCAGGATTAAAAGCAGGAGCCGCAGCAGCAGCAGCAGCAGCAGCTGGAAGGAGCAAGAAGGGCAGGAGCTATAGCAGCAGAAGCAGCAGGAGCAGCAGGAACAGCAGAAGGAACAGCAGCAGGAGCAAGAAGGGCAGGAGAAGCAGGAGGAAGAGCAGCAGGAGCAGGAGCAGTAGGCGCGATACTAGAAGCAGGAGCAGGTTCAGCAGAAGAAGCAGCAGGAGCAGCAACACAGGTACCAGCAGCAGCTTCAGCTGTAGCAGAATTAGTAGAGGCAACACCATCAGTTGTAGCAGGAAATACAGGAGAAGAAACAGAGGTCATTGGAGCTTGAGAGGGAAGAGAAAGAGTGTTGGCAGCAGCAACAGCTGAAGCAGAAACAGCCGGGGCATCACCAGCAGCTGTAGCAACAATAGAATTGGCCTCCGCTTCCTGCTGCTGCTGCTGCGTTGACAACGGCTGCTGCTGCTCGTTCTGCTGGTGGTTCCCCTCCTGCTGCCTCTCCTGCTCTTGCATTCCGTACATTTCCCCTTCCCTCATCTCGCCACCCCCCTTGTCCCCTTCCCCCGCGCGCCCTGTGCCCGCATCCCCCGGCTCCCGTTCCCCCAATCCCCCTTCCCCCGCTTCGCCTTGCCTCATTCTCCCTTCCCCCGTGCGCGCTCCCCCCATTTGCCTTCCCCCATAGACCACAAAGTCCGGCGGGGGCCACCCATACCACGCCCCCCACCCCCCGCCAACCCACTCCCCTCCCCTCCATTCCCCGCCCCTCCCCCTTAACTCCCCCCCCGTGCCCCCGGATCTTCCGCCCACCCCCCTTCCTCCACCGCCTCCTCTTCCCCCTCCACTCCCCACGGTTGGGTAAACCCCCCCGTATGTGTGCAGGGGAAGATGAGCATGCGGGGGGTTTGGCGCATTAGCGGAGAGTAGCGCGGGTGGGGAGATTCCCCCGTGCGCGTGCGGGGGGGTTTCCGCATGCGCGTGCGGGGGGTTTGGCGCGTGGGGGAAAACCAGCGTTGGATATCTGCCATAGTCGTACCAACCAGGGGGAGGATAGTGCGCTGGCGGATAGTGATAATAAGGGGAGGGCGCTATATAGCCGTAAGGGGACGGCGGGCCTGGCGGAACCGGAGGAACTGGCGGAACCGCCGGGGGGAAAGAATGCGCAGAGCGGAAGGGTTCTCCTGGCGCAGGATGATTGGGCGGGGTCTCCGCAACTTGTTGAGGGGGGGAGCCGGGGGGAGACTCCGCCATGTCGTGCTGGGGGGCTTGCGCAGGGGAAGCGGGGTGGGTGGTGGCGGAGGGAGGGAGTGCTACGAAGAAATTATATTAGAGAAGTACTATCTAGAAGGCTGTAATGGGTATCTGTAACCTGTTTCGTAATCTGCACAATCGATGCTACAGGAGGCTGCTACGCGAGAGGCTGGTATGGAAGTGCGAGCTAGCCTTAGCCTTGGTCGGCATGTTTCTGGAGGAAACGGGATGGAAGATTCGGGTCGGGAGCTGAGAGGGATCCACTGGCGCGTTCAGCAGTTGACGATTGAAGAGGCTGGCGGAAGGCCTGGGCGGGAAGCACGTTCGGCGGAATCGGGGAAGGCAAACTGCGATTTGAAAAACGCTACCTACAATATTTCAGGGCGTAGTACCAACTGGGTACAAAACTGCATCATTGCTGAATATTTCTCATCCTACAGAATCGCGTCTAACCACGCGAAACTGCTACCCGGAGGGTGATAAGTCGAACCTCTCATGGTAGAAAAACGGTGAAACCAGAGACCATTCCCGAACGTGACTCAACGTATTTAACCGCCCTAAGAAAGACCTGCACCGATAAATATAACTTTCCAAGCCAAAACGGTAACCCTTGAAAAGCTCCTGATGAATTCAGAAGAAACCTTCGATATCAACCGACCAGACCTGACTCGATCTGTTAGGTCGCATTTCGGACCTCCAAACAACCAACTTCCTAACAAGTTGGTCGTCGCACACGCCAAACTTGTTAGGAGGTTGGTTTTTGCACCTCCAAACAAACAACATCCATCACTGACATTGTCTGTCGCAAATGTACAGTGGCGGTTCGCAGCCAGTAAAGTGGCGGAACATTTCACCTATCTGAGATGACCTGTCACTTGGTAACAAATGGTAACACTTGGTCGCAGCTGTTCGGGCAGCTGATACAGAGATGTTAGGAGGTTCACATCGCATGAAGTCGCACAAAGTCTCAGAAAATCGGAAAGAAGTCGCTTGTTAGGAAGTTGATTGTTTGGAAGTTTCCCGAAATGCGACCTTAGACTATAGGTTCTTTTCTGCCGTGCAGAGCGTGACCTTGATTATTCATTTTTTTTTTGGAGGTGAAAATGCACTATATAATGAGATTATACAATGCGAAACACCACGGTCGTAACCGATTAGGGAGGGGTTAGGTCAATGTACTGGCCCCCGTAGGGCCTGGGTACACTGTACCGTACCCTCGCAACCTATTACGGGGGTTTAAACACTAGGCGCCTGAAAAACTCATCTTGCCCGATTGGGCTTGGTATACCACTGGTTGGCTTGAGCTGTTGCACGCTCTCTTCAGTTGCACTTCTCTGACTCTGGGAAAGGATGGTTGAAGCATCTGCTGCCTCTGTTCCAAAATCTTCTTCTCTTGAGAGAAATGTAACTTCAGTTTCATGGCGCCTGCTTGCAGAAAGGTAGTTGTCGCTATCCTCAAATTGAAGGTAGACTTCTTGAAACGTAGGGAACTTTCCATCGTCGTCATCTCTCTTCTCAGTAAAAAACCAACCGCTGTCTTCAAAGATTCCAGCAATGAAAAGCTCATAGTCTTCAGATTCATGAGCTATGTTAGAATGAAGCGTGACTTCTGGACATGTAGGCGACTTAAATCCTGTTTTCTTCAAATCTGTTTCTGATTCGCGTGGTTGCGGTTTCACGTCTCTTGCAACTAGTCGACTTATTGGTGAAACTCCTTCGTTTGCCTTTTTGTCGTCCAGGTAGAAACCATTTTGTGACCTGGAAATATTTTGCCCAGTAATCTCCTTGCACTTCTGAGATTCGACTTCCATTGCCTTTTTCTCGTCCAGGTAATAAACATCTTGAACTTCTGAAGTTTCGGAAGCCATTTTTAAAAAAGGTTTCTCTTGAAATACCCCTGCCATATCTCCTTGTGACTTGAGGCGATCTGTAATGCTTGCTCGATGAATCTTGTGATGTTCCTCATCATATTTTGCTTGCCGTTGAAGTTCTGAGAATGATGATAGCCTGAAAATATTTCGCCGAGTAATCTCCTTATACTTGAACTTCCAACTTCGGGTTGCACCTGTTTTTAATCTCCATCCTGGACGTCGCGCTGCGGCCGATGTGACTCTCTTGGAACAGGCAGTGCAATGACATGAAAGTGAGCAGCTCGTTGACTGGTATGAGTAGTAACGACGACCAGATGTTCTCGGTATGAACATAATTTTGGTGTCGAAATGAAGCTCTCAAAGCGTAGACCCCGAAAATGGTTCCAGAACCTGAGACTGACACTGTTAGCTTAGACATTGTTCTGCTCGAAGGAAGAGCCATGGCGGAGAGATCGGCTGTGGCGGAGAGATAGATCGAAATGTGACAGACTCGATCAGACGTGGAGCAGATCGAAGTGTCGTAGGAGAAGATGTTGGAGCGAGATTCCCGGAAAGGACGTGTCTCAAACGTGCGGGTCCACGTAGGTCCGACGCGGATTCGGCGGACCAGCTCGATGACCGTCGCGTGAACCAGCGACGGACTGGACCGAGGTGCGGGGCATTTACCCCGATAAAATGTTCGAATGGCACTACAACGGTGCCAGTGAATTATTGATCGCCAGACCAGCCCGCGCCTGGTCCGTAACTGTAGCAGCTCCCAGTCTGATTGCGAAACTTTTTGCAATTCGTGATTATCGCGCGTGACGGGATGGGGTGTTTTTGCTGGGCCGAAAGAGGAGGTAACTCGATTTCAACATTCCTGATTTTCGTCATTACAGATTTTTGTCGCAAGTACTGTACAGTCAGTGACGCGATGTATCATGCAGACCAGCTCGTGTCTGGTCCACGGCTGGTCCGTGAAGCGGGTCCATCGAACCAGAATTGCGGACCAGGCATGTATTTTTTTGCAACGGACCAGGTCGGGGCGGACCAGTCACATGAGACACCTTCTTACA